TATTTCTGATTTCATTTTTTGCAAGGTCTTGCTGGATTACATTTATGAAAATTAGGCTGGTCCTAATTTCATGAAGTAATTCTTACAAAATGGTTGAATAAGGATTTTATATGGCAGCATTTTATGACCAGAATGACAGCTTGATTAATTGTAGACATTTGTCCAATAATTATAAAATCCATCCAGGGGTTCATAAAATACTTTTATAATATACAAATAGAGTTTACTCGAAATAGTTAAAGGGAAATCTTTGATGATCTTGTGTAATCTTTTAGTGCTTAGAATTTGAGATAAGTCTCAGCTATCTTAAAATAGTTCTGCACAATGTCTGTATACTGTAGCTGACTGAGTTAAAACAACTTTTGTTTTTTAAGCTCAGTCAGCTGTGGCCATCATCTTCAATAAAGTTGACTATAAAATTGAATCAGTTATAGATGTTTGTTAATTCAGCTAAATTCACATTCAGGTTAATTCACTGTCTTCCCACCAAGGGTCGTTAAAGTCTTTCTTGACTGCAGTTGTCCATGATGCAGATGTACAATTTCACACTAATGCTGGACATTTCCAAAGTCTTTCACTTCACAACCTGGATTCATAAAGATTTGGTATTAGAGAAATGTGTACATACTCTCCGCCAATATTCAATATTGTACACTAGCATGATAATGTTAGGATATGTCTAATTCGTGCTTGTAGGTGATTAAGTCTGACCTCCATTTTACAATAGACGGCAGTAAACTCAATTTAGTGTTTCATCAGAGGATGATGAAGAAAGTTTGTCTTAAAATGCAGCAGAAATTTTACCATTTCAATTAAAATTGGTGTAAAGTAGACAGGACTTTAGAAAGCTGAAAGTTGAGACCTCCCCTGTTTCACGTGGGCCTTTCTTGTTTCACGTAAATGTCTTTCTTCACCCCATTCTCAAGCTTTTAGACCAAGTTTCATTAAAATTTGTCCAGTGGGTCATATTTCAGTAACTCACAGTCATACAGACTCAGATAAAAAATCTGGTGTACCTTTTGGCAGAGAGCAATAATTATAAAAGAGGTTAACAAACCCCCAGTGGCTCCTTCATGACCTCCTCCTCTTCAGAATCTTTACTGTCAAGTGGAGAACCTGCAGAGTGTGAGATACAGTTAAGTCCATATCTACTTGTACAGAGACATTTTCCTAATTTTGGTTCTTTACATTACGACAATGAGTTTTGAACAAAACAAGAGGCATTTTTTAATTTTACTTGTGATTTTTATCTTGTATAAATGTTTCTTTGAAATGTTATTTGTGTGTATGGAGCCCTGTCAAAGACAAATTTCTGTAACCTTTGGTGTCAGACAAATAAAGTTTCTGTTCTATTCTAAACATTTCAGATGCAGATGAAGTTCAGACGAGTGCATAGAAATGTGAGGAAGTAAAGCATCTTTTAAACACAATCCATTCATTTTCAGGGGCTCAAAAGTAATTGGACAAATTAAATAATTGTAAATTAAAAGTTCAGTTTTAATACTTGGTTGAAAACCCTTTGGCAATAACTGGCTGAAGACTTGAATTCGTGGACATCACCAGACGCTGTGTTCCCTCCTTCGATCACGTTTTCTTCGCAGCAAACTCTTCCAAATGCAAGCACCACACCTCAAATCAACTCCAGGCCTTTAATCTGCTTCATTGAGAATACATAATGAAGGAATTACCCACACCTGCCCATGAAACATCCTTTGAGTCAACTGTCCAATTACTTTTGGTCCCTTTAAAATCCAGTATTTTTCAGTAAATCCAGTAAATCCATATAAGGCAGTATTTTTTTCCACACAGAAAAAAATAGATATAGACCTAACTGTAGGTCAGGCTGATAATTTATTCTTTGTTCTTACCTCGAGACTCTCCTACAGTCTCTGTGACTCTGACATTGCTCTGATGGTCTTTGTTTTGCTCTAATGATGCATCTTTCCTGGAAAGAACAAAATGAGAGTCCATTTCCATCAGGAACAAACCCAATTTTTGCCAACTGTTGTGTGATGAGGCTGGCTGATGAGCATATCAAGTCAAGAAAAATAAATATATATATATATTTACCTCAACACAATTATTTTTTATTATATCACTTTAAAGTTCCAAATGTAAATTTATAAGAAAAAGAAAACTATGATAGTTTTACCATTTTTCACATGTTATAAAAAATTTGGATTTATGGGTATGGGGCTATGCTAAAGATTTAATACAAATGAAAATAAAGTTAAAAGATTTTAGTCAAAAAAGTATGATTCTGCTAACAAAATCAAGTTTAATGACAAAGTTTTCTGCTTTTAAGTTTTACTTAAAACACTTGCATGCTTCGGCACCCTTTGATCTAAAACTGATTCACTTTAGATGTCCACACAGATTACATATCCTGGCGATCCTAAAACTTTCTAACTAATAGATGTGTTGAAGAGGAGGGATCTACCTACACACACCTGTGGTCAGTGGCTGCTGTAGAACTGGTGGAGTCCAACTCTCTGTTCAGCGCAGAGTAATCTAGAGTCGCCACAGCTCCTTCCTCGAGCTGAGCATAGAATCTGGCTTTCTCCTCATTCTCCTCCTCCTGAGTATCCAACCCCACATCACTCAAGTTCCCAGCTGCCATCATCGCAGGTTCTGTATTCAGAGACAAAGAGAACACAATGAGTGCAGCTGTTAGAAATTCTTCACTCTCTGAAATGCTTGACATTTAATATGGTCACACTTCAGCGTCTATTATTACCTTCAAAATCTAAATTAGGACAGATGGAAACATTTGGTTTAAGGCTGACACCCCACCTTATGGGTCCAAAAATCAAATTAAACTGTTTTAATGTTTGTAACATGTCTGCAATCTTGAATTTCACGATGGCCGACACGGGGAACAGGTACCCTGGGATATCTCCACAAGTAGTGTCAATATTGAAGCAATTCAATATACAAGTATAACAGTTTGGGACATTAGACATTATGTCTTTGGAAGCTTCTGATAGGTTTATTGATAACATCTGAGTTGATTAGAGACACACCTGTGAATGTACAGGGGTTAGAAAATGAAACTGAAACACCTGTCATTTTAGTGTGGGAGGTTTCATGGCTAAATTGGACCAGCCYGGTGGCCAGTCTTCATTAATTGCACATGGCACCAGTAAGAGCAGAGTGTGAAGGTTCAATTAGCAGGGCACAGTTTTGCTCCAAATATTGCAATGTACACAACATTATGGGTGACATACCAGAGTTCAAAAGAGGACAAATTGTTGGTGCACGTCTTGCTGGCGCATCTGTGACCAAGACAGGAAGTCTTTGTGATGTGTCAAGAGCCACGGTATCCAGGGTAATGTCAGCATACTACCAAGAAGAACAAACCACATCCAACAGGATTAACTGTGGACGCAAGAGGAAGCTGTCTGAAAGGGATGTTATGGTCTAAAACCAGGTGTTTCAGTTTAATTGTCTAACCCCTGTAATATAAGGAACACCTGAAATACACAGCTTCTTTGTGTGAGATCATGGGAAAGTATAAATAAATCTGCCAACATATCAAGAAGAGAACTGTGGACCTGCACAATTCTGGTTCACCATTGGGTGCAATTTCCAGATGCCTGAAGGCCCGTTTTTCATCTGTACAAAAAAATCACACACAAGTACCAACAAGATGGGACTGTTCAGCCATCATACCGCTCAGGAAGGAGGCAGGTTCTGTGTTCCAGAGATGAATGTGCTTTGGTCAGAAAGGTGCATATCAGCCCAAGAACAAAAGCAAAAGAGCTGATGAAAATTCTGGCTGAAGCTGGTGAGTTTGTCATTATCCACAGTGAAATGAGTTCTGTATCCATATGGACTGAAATGCCACTCTGCCAGGAAGAAGACATTAATTCAAAAAATCATAAAAAAGGCCAGAGTAACATTTGCACATGTACTAAAAAAGAGGCAAAGACCTTAATTTTTGGAGAAAAGTCCTGTGGTCGGACAAAACTAAATTTGAACTGTTTGGCTATAATGAGCTTGCAAGCCAGAGAACACCATCCTGACTGTGAAACACGGGGGTGGCAGCATTATGTTGTGGGGTTGTTTTGCTGCAGGAGGGACTGGTGCACTTCATAAAATTGATGGCATCATGAAGAAAGAACATTATGTGGAAACACTGAAGCAACATCAGCCAGGAAGGTAAAGTTGGGAGCAAATGAGTTAGGGTACAGTGTTAGAGCCAACCTGTTTGAAAAGATGGCATTTTTTAGGTCTCACTTTTTTCTTTCTCTTATCTCTCATTACCACAAACCTTGCTTTTTGCTAAAGTACTATGTACGTAGGTGGAACACCTTTAATTATTTTTAGGTACTTGGCTTGCTTAGAAAAAAAAATTAGCTTTAATTTTATAAAAAGAGCCTTTTTCTTTTATTCTCATTTAGTTTTTGTTTTATACTAGAATGAATGCTTTTTTTCTGTTCTGCCTAAGTGTCTTTGCAAAGGTTGTCGTACGTTTGGAAATGTAGTGATATAAAAATTAGTGCTTATCAGATTCCAACACAGTTCCAGGACAACACGGTGTACAAAAGTGGGTCACAGAAAGTTGGATGACTGAATGATCTTTTACAGTTTTTACATAGTTATATATGATTTTTGGAGATTTTACCTAAAAATAATATCTAACATGTCACGCCACGTTCTTACCTCCTGCTGCCGCAGCCTCACTCACATGCTCATCATCCGGCCACCACGATACAGCTGGTTTCTGATTTGATTTGTGGTAGGTTTTATCTCGACATGGTTTATCAGAGCTGCCTAAATCCACAGAGTCATCTGAAACAGACTGGAAGAGAGAGCCGTTTAACCAAATCGATGCTTTCAGCAAGACACGGCTGATATCAAAACTGTCACAGGCTTCTCTCTTAGCAGAAACGTTGGGAACTCAGGTTTGACAAGACCACTTAGAAGCTAATAGAAAAAAATAACATAATTTATCTTGTAGTTTACCTCAGCTGTGTGTGACAGAATGTTAGTAGAAATGTAAATAAAATAATAGTCAAATAAAAGTAAATATGGTATTAGAGGATTAGCACTACTGTAATTATTTGAACAATAGGAAATAGTTTGTTAAAATTAATAATATAAGATCTGAAGTATGTAATAACAGTTGTGGAGTTCCCCAAGGTTCTATGCTTGGACTAGGGTTGGGCATAATCGTATCATGTGTGATTAATCGTCAGAAAAACATTAATCGATTAATTTTTGGCACTTGACAATTAATACGATTAATGCCAACAGGTAGAATCCGCTCGCTGCTCCTCTCAGCTTCAAATATGACGAACATTAAAAAAAAGTTCTGTAACTTATTTATCCATCAACACAATTTAAAATTTGATCTATAGCCTGAAGTCTGTAATTTTGACACAATTTGGAACAGATTTTTATGAAGAGCAAATCTTTCCCACTAAATTGGTCATGTGACTATGAAATAAGGGTGTCCAGGGACTCCAGGGGATTAATCGTCAAATTAATCGTTATCGGCTAAATACCATAATTAATCATGATTTATTCTTTTGCCAATACTGCCCAACCCTAGCTTGGACCAAAACTTTTTATTTTATATGTGAATGATTTGGACAATGTTTCAAAGCCACAGCAAATCTTCAGGCCCTGAAAAACTTGCTGTAGTGAATGAATTCTGCTGTCTACCAAAAAATCCTGGAGAATGTCTGGTTATTGGTTTGTGAACATGTGTGTGAACACATGGGCTCTGTAGAAGGACAATATTCCAAAACACATCAGCAAGTCCAAGTCTGAATGGCTTAAGAAAAACAAATTTAAGACTTTGAAGTGGCCTAATCAAAGTTGTGACCTAAATATGATTAAGATGCTGAGGCATGGCCTTAAAATGGTGGCTCGTGCTCAGAAACCCTCAAATGTGGCTAAATTATGACAACTCTGCAAAGAAGATTGGGACAAGATTCCTCTGCAGAGCTGTGAAACACTCATTGCCAGTTATTGCAAATGCTTGGTTGCAGTTGTTTTTCCTGCTATGGGTGGCTCAACCAGCTTTTAGGTTTATTGGGCATTTACTGTTCACATATATGGTCTTGTATGTTTGGATTTCTTTTTCCCCTAGTAATAAAACCCTTCGTTTATGAACTGCATTTTGTGCTTACTTGTGTTTTCTTTGTCTCATATTTAAATTTGTTTGGTGATCTGAAACATTTAAGTGTTTTTAAAAGCCTAAGAAATCAGGAAGGAGGAAAATCCAGTACTTTTTCCACACCACTGAAACAAGACAGGAAAACAGATTATTTCCTGAAATATGTTTTCTTCTGGTCAGTCAGTATGGATTGATTTAAAGATGTATGCAGGTATGGTGTAGCATTCCTGATAAAAACTGTGTTCAAATTTTTGAAGATTTTCTGCTGCTGTTGTACCAGTTTTTAGCTTTATGTGTCTAAAAGTGGCTTTAAAATATCTTTCTCAAATTAGCATTTAAGTGTGAAGATGAAAATATGTTAAACACTGAATGTTTCTGTGAAAAGATGAGGGAGGACAAGAATTAATATGTTTCTGTTTTGTTCTTATTTCAGTCTTACAAAAAGTAAAAATATAAAAATGGAGTAAAAGCTTAAGAAATAAAATCAAAAACAGTCAAAAGAGAAGACCAATCCTCAAACTTCTTCTACATTAACGTCAACTATCTGTCTGGTAGTACAAGTTGAAGATGTACTGTAAGGACAGAATATAGTTAGTCTTTTGACAATTGTAACCTTAAACAAGACTTTTGATAATTTTACATTTTTAACTAATGCTTTTTTTTTTTACCTAAAGCTTCTGTTAAAGTTATATTATGTATCTTTGTTTTAACTTCAACAACTCAGTCTCAGATTTAAAGAAAATTTAGCAAATTCAGCTCAGATTTTACACTTTATTTTTTTACATAAAATCTGATCTAATATCACAATCATTGGAATACAGTCACATAAGCTATAAATGTGTAGTTTTGTTTCATTTTCTTGGTCAGGATGATGACCTGTTTTTGACAAGTGTATTACCCTAACTTGTGAATCCAGCAGCTGAAGTGGTCTGATGTTTACCTCTTTGAGGAACAGCTCAAACTGTGCATCGAGCTCTTTCTTGGTCAGCCTTTGAGACATTGTAATGATGCTCCTTCAGCCGAAGGCAAACAACAAAACTACAAAAAAAAAAGACAGTCAATTTAACTTTTAAGTGTGTTTTCTTCTAATATTATTTTCAGACTATCATGGGAAAAAATGATATGGGTCTATTATTAACCAAACGTTTGATTAATAAAAAAGCAGACATTAATTGCTTTACTTGTGATAGTGAAATGTCCTCAACATCCAATATGTTGCCAGCTGTCAGAATGACTGCAGAGCACAGATGATAGGTATGAACACTGTTTATTTATTTAAACGAACCGAATGACCGCAAAATCCTAAAATAACTGCACAAGAATTACCTGTGCCGGTTACATTGTCATTCTAAGAGGTTATGATTTTTCCAACTCAACTTGCGAGTACTTGGTTTTATTTTGAAAAACGTACAATTGTATATTAATCTGACTGATGCGGCTAAATACAAGTAGCATCACGGCGCAGGCTAGTAGAGTTAGCTAACTTTCCCGGTGTTTTTTTTATTATATTATTTATAATCACGGATTTCTCAGTTAGTATACATATATATGTTTTGTGTCAGCACAACTTACTCAACTTAAAAGTCTTGTCTTGACTGCTCTTTCCAAAATTAACTTAAAACAATTTCCATATCTGTTGTTTGATGTCGGCAGTTCCCGCAAGACGTGTTTTAAAAACTGCGCATGCGCAAAGTGGCTGAGTCATACGTCACTCGAGATAAACGCTGAGGTTGCTGTGGAAACGCCTTTGGTGGCTGGAGAAGAGGATAGGGCC